GCATCTGATGCATGATGTACTCTCGTAGGTTATCCCAAGTGGTGTCTTTCTCCTGTCGCTCCGCCTCGCTGTCAGCGTCCGCTTCCAGCATATTTGCAAGACCTTCTTGCACGTTCTGCTGTCGTTGTCGAAGTTTACAGATATCCATCCCCCCCGTAGCAGTAATCCTCAATCAATTGGTAGCAGTCCGCCTTGTTGTGGTCTCTTTCGAATGCCCACTGGAGACGCAGACCCGCAATGGAAGCCTGAGATGTGGTCAGGAACTTGTTGAGACTCGGGTCTGCTTCGAAGATGCCGTCAAGCTGATGATCCTCATAAGCAGTGAGAAACTTCTTGTGGAGAAAACGAGCTTTTGCCTTCCACACCAGGGCACGTCGGAACATGGAGTTGAACGTACTGTTGCCGACGCCTGTAAACTTCATGATCCGGTTGACTTCGAGCCTAGTCCATCCAACTGTATGGAACATCTTGGTGCTGTATCCATACGGCCATACGGCTTGCGCCCCATGATTCCATCAGCGGAAATAGTCTTTTTGTAGAGGTCAATGTGAAGCTTCTTGTTGCTCTCTGGTGCCTCTTGTCCTGTCATGATGAAGGATCTTGCGAAAGTCTCGACTTGCTTGCGGAGTTCCTCGTCCAGGTACCAGATATTGGGGTCGAAGTAGACGTGGTTATGTTTGTACATCTCCGACAAATCAAGAGAGTACAAGCTCTGACCCATGCCGCCAGGAGATATTCATCTGTCCACGTTGCATCCCCGTTTGGCAATGGCAATGGCAGCCTGACAGCATCTGAAAACTTCCACGTTGCACCAAAACGTCTGCGCATAGAACTTCTCCAAACGATCTGTGTGTGTCTGGAGTACGGGATCCAGCAAAGGATGTGGAATCTTCACGTAACAATTGTTGCTAGGACCCTTCCGCACCACTTGTACAGGACTCTCAGACAAAGGGGAATCGTACACAAAGCAAGCATCATCATAGCACACCGACGCAGCTCTCTGATCCTCTGTCTCGCACCATTCCACCAGCAAGGATATCATCCTTGTTTGCATCAATTCCAGTCTCACTGTGCCGGACAGCTTCCAGCATTTGTCTGCAATAGCCAAAGTCCATGATTGTGCATCGTCAGCTTGCTTCTGGTTCCTGGCTCGCGCGGCCTGAACTTCTTGATGCATAGCTGCAGTCTCGATTGCATCTGCTTCATCCAATCTGGGAGTATATACTGGACTCCGCAGTCGCCGGTTGGTAGCTGCACGACAAGCTGACAGAAATTCTTGCTCCGATTCAAACGTCTGTAGATCTGCCACGATAGCTGCTGCAACTGTTTCGGTTTTTCAAGTTATCTCTTGTCTCATTCGTCTGAAGATACCTTCTAGCCACACGAAGAAGTGGTGTACACGATGGAGCACAGCCTCAGGCTGGATTCCGCCAAACGGAAGAAAGCATCCATCATCGTCGTAAATGTAGAGAAACCCTAAGCCGCCGGATCTCATCTGATATATTGGGAAAGTTCTGCTGTAGTTGACGAAGCATCTCATTCGTGTTGTGCAAAATGCTGTTGGGCAGCGAACAGACATCCTTCGCAAGAGCATCCCGTGTGTCGGACAGAATGGTATGAGACCTGGCGAAGAAAAGGTTCTGAAATCGAAGAACATGTGTATCAGCTCCTGGTATAAGACGTCGCTTCTTGGCTGCCGCTGGAGCAACATTCTCTTCTTCGTCCATAATCTCCTCAAGCCATTGCTCCAGATCATCAGGATGTGATCTTTGCGATGGCAATTCCACAGCAAAGGGCTGCGTGTCTGCAAGTTCAGTAGGAGGCGGCTGAGCAGCAGGAACTTCATGAAGCTGAGATTCAGTCTTGCTCCATGTCCCTGGCGAGTCGCTGGTCTCGAAGGCATTGCATGAGTTTGCCGACTTCCACTTGTAGGTCCGGCACATCGTCCACGAAGCCTCCAGGAAGGTACCTGGAATGAACACACACGACTTTCATGGCCAGGACGTTGATGCCATAATACGTCTGGAGTATCCACTTGTACATGTTGAGTTGCAGTCTGGATGGTATCCTTGACAATCCGCAATGTTCTGTAGAGGCGGATTCATGTAGCGGTCGAACCCATTGTACTTATCTTGAAGTTTCTCACTTCGCTTCCAATCAGCGAGATACAAGGTGACCGGACGACGAGGTTCTTCTCGCAAGACGGCCCCGACAATTGACTCCAGTTGCCCTCCCCATCCGCCTCAACTACATCGCGGGCACAAACACCGCACGTTGGCTTCAAGCAATAGACTTCACTGCCGGGTTCATCAAGCTTGGAACGATGACAGCACAATAAGGCCGAGTTGCGTTCTCCAATCACTTCGTCGACATCCATCTGAGACGGAGCCTGATAAGACATACCAACATTCGATATTAACATAGAGTTGAAGTCCGAGCCGAGAAGTGATACATCAGATGCCGCCAAGCCACCGCTCCACCAAGGAAATCGTGGCAGGGATCTTCTGATTCCATGAACTTAAGCCCGTATCTGCTCGGATGGAGCTTGAACGTACGTTCCCATGATGCGGCTTACACCATCTGCGGTGTGACTGTGATATTGTCGCCTGTCCTGTGGCTTCGTGTAACTGATTCCATCTGAGAAAACGCGCAAGCCTCGAAAGTGGCAGTCTCGGCAAAGAAGTATGTAGAATCCAGCCGTCTTGAAATCTACATCCGTCTCGTGCGTGATGGTATACCTCAGAGCAGCAGAATCAACATGTACATTAGGGCAAACATGAGGATCTGTCAAGTCTAGTATGCACTGAGAGACGCCCGAACGGCGCCAACATGCTGGAGCCGTCATGAATCGCCCAGCATGGGCCACTGCGCTCGTAGGGAACTTTGACACCAAGCGCCCTGATGGTATCAGTCAGGCATGTCTGCGTCAGTCTGCTGCCATGGTCAATGCCTCGGACTGTAGACTCAGTGTAGGGTCATCGTGTAGCTACATACACACGGACTATCTAGAACCCACACGATATTCTGCTGAAATCAGTCACAAGCTGCCGTGTGTGGACAATGCAGCTCGCACGTCAGCAGCAATGGGCTCGAACAAAAGTAGACTGACTGCATCCTGCGTCCTTGGCAATATAAGCATGTAGCACATTCTGCGCATTTTGACTGTAAAGTACATGGTTCTACCTCGGCATCCGCTTGCAGGCCAATCTCCTGATGCGGGAAGGACCTTTGGTCCTGCCATGTCTGAGGACAATGATGCGAATACAAAGAGGGATCGTGTTAGCGTCCTCCTCGTGGCTGATGATTGCAGGATCACATTGGATGTCGTCCGGCAGATGCAATTTGCAGGATGATGCTGTCACCTCGGCTTCTCAGTAATCGCGTACAGACAGTAACGAGTACAACCGGCTTATTCGCACAGTTATATGCCGAGTATCTATGGGGACTTGTTCTGCTGTACTTCCGCCCCACATGGGAGAATCCAGTCCCTTGGCAGCAACATGATGTATAAACTGGAATAGCATGCAGTTGGTTATGAAACCGTTTGTACAACCAAGGATCATTGTCTGTCTTCATACTGACTCATACTGACACGCCAGTTCCAGGCGGCAGTAGCTCTCGTGTTCGGCCTTATGCAGTGGAGGACAGAACGTCGCTATGCAGTCAGTCTAATCTGTGTAGGAGTTCCCGTGCGAGGTTATCCCACCAGGCTTCACCGGGAATTGTGGCAGCCAGGCTGACAAACTCATCGGGCTCGGATTTGACAGTCGACCTTATTATATAATACGAAGAAGGGATGCGCACCAACGTTTTCATGCTGATAGTCCATCCCCAGCATCTCTGCGACCAGCAGACACGACAAAGGAGGGCGTGTCCTCCTGGTCCACCGGTCTTCGCTTCATTCGCACAGGCCTGCATGATGGGATGTCCATGGGTGGTGATGGCGATGAGGTGGAGTTGGACATCATGCCAGCTTGGGTCCATGCATGTGGAGGCCTGATTCATGGTGGGGAGAAGTGCCGGGACAACTTGTTGCGGAGCCAGTCTCCACAGGCTGGCTGGTGCAAAGATGGAGAGAAGAGCCTTGTTGCCCCCCAGCCGCTTGAGAGTTTGCAGTAACTCTAGTTCCTCAAACTGAACGGCCTGCAAGTCAGCATACTTCGGAGCTTCCGTGATGGCTTGACTGCCAAAGACTTGACGAAGGAATCCTGCGATTTGCTCCGCCTCCTCTACTCCCGCTAGAAGTCTGCCCTCTTTGTCCCGTAGCTGAATGCGTAAGGGCCTGGTCTTAAGTGCTAATCTTCGGACTACACTGTAGATCGCTGATGGCTGTGTGGAAGCCTCAGCTTCCTGCAACAAGGCATCAGCCCGGTTCCTTTTCTTGGCTATGCAGGCCTTGCGGGGAAGCCTCTGGATTCTCTTGAGATGAGCAGCACGGAACCATCCTCGGAGCACAGAGTGAGTTCGCGGGGGCTGAGCGTGCTGTTTGCGTGCGGCCCATAGTTGTCTAATAAGGCCCAGTGTGTCCGGTTGCGGCGCCGAAGCAGGGGGAGGGGCTTTTGGCTTAGCCTCCTGCCAGGCTTGATGCAGTACGCGATTAAGCACCTGTGCTGGGTCACCTGCCACATTGGGCGGCATGAGTGCAATCACCTGCTGTTGGAAACGGACTGCAAGGATGGGTCTTGACGCAGGGACAGGTTGACCTCCTTGGCAGTCGGAGGGGCTGGTCTTCTGGGGCCGATCTAACAATGTTCCGGTTCAGCAGCTTATCCCAGATATCACTTTTTGAGAGATTGGGATGGTCCTTTGCATCGAGCTTCAACTTCTTGAACTCGTAGAAGGTCATGCTTTCCAGGCCTTTGTCAAGCATCTGATGCATGATGTACTCTCGCAGGTTATCCCAAGTGGTGTCTTTCTCCTGTCGCTCCGCCTCGCTGTCAGCGTCCGCTTCCAGCATATTTGCAAGACCTTCTTGCACGTTCTGCTGTCGTTGTCGAAGTTTACAGATATCCATCCCCCCCGTAGCAGTAATCCTCAATCAATTGGTAGCAGTCCGCCTTGTTGTGGTCTCTTTCGAATGCCCACTGGAGACGCAGACCCGCAATGGAAGCCTGAGATGTGGTCAGGAACTTGTTGAGACTCGGGTCTGCTTCGAAGATGCCGTCAAGCTGATGATCCTCATAAGCAGTGAGAAACTTCTTGTGGAGAAAACGAGCTTTTGCCTTCCACACCAGGGCACGTCGGAACATGGAGTTGAACGTACTGTTGCCGACGCCTGTAAACTTCATGATCCGGTTGACTTCGAGCCTAGTCCATCCAACTGTATGGAACATCTTGGTGCTGTATCCATACGGCCATACGGCTTGCGCCCCATGATTCCATCAGCGGAAATAGTCTTTTTGTAGAGGTCAATGTGAAGCTTCTTGTTGCTCTCTGGTGCCTCTTGTCCTGTCATGATGAAGGATCTTGCGAAAGTCTCGACTTGCTTGCGGAGTTCCTCGTCCAGGTACCAGATATTGGGGTCGAAGTAGACGTGGTTATGTTTGTACATCTCCGACAAATCAAGAGAGTACAAGCTCTGACCCATGCCGCCAGGAGATATTCATCTGTCCACGTTGCATCCCCGTTTGGCAATGGCAATGGCAGCCTGACAGCATCTGAAAACTTCCACGTTGCACCAAAACGTCTGCGCATAGAACTTCTCCAAACGATCTGTGTGTGTCTGGAGTACGGGATCCAGCAAAGGATGTGGAATCTTCACGTAACAATTGTTGCAGGACCCTTCCGCACCACTTGTACAGGGCTCTCAGACAAAGGGGAATCGTACACAAAGCAAACACCACATAGGTTACTAGAGCTGTCGAGATTATGGTTAAACGGCTTGGTGGGTGCATCTCCATCACTACTATATGCGTTATATGGCCGCGATGCAGCAGAAACCTGCAGCTTATTCCATGCCCCTTTCGCGAAAAACCCTTTCAACACCAAGTCTCAACTCGACACTAGCATGCCCTGGGATGATTTTAGGGGTTTAAGCTAAAAGTGCTACTTTTCTTTTCTAGTACGAACAAATTCCCGGCACCACCCCGAAAGCCTAGCAAAATCGAAAAGCGCTGGTTATTGAAAGGTACTTTGGCGCCAAAGGTTCTTCTGTTCCTGCTGCCTCAGGGGTCGTGCGAAGCCCCCCACAGAGGTCGATTGAACCCCTCTTGCCGGTCGGGGAGGGCGCTGTGGGGCGGGGCTGCCCCGGGGTTAGGGGTCAAAAAAAAGATGCAGGGGGTCAGAAAAAAGAGGTCCCCGCATGGTCTCGTCCCTTCAAGGCAAGTTCCAGAACTTTGCTAGCCTCATGGAGAGTGCTAACCGTTGCACCTTTAATCGAGCTCTGAAGCTTCGATACACGGTACAGGATGTCTGGCCGCGCCTGCGTAGAGATCCACGAAAGGCTACCGACTACGGAACGTAATTGGCGTTCCTCACCTCGGTCGATAAGATCCGAGTGTTTCCTGCCTGCCTTGACGTCAATGTAGGTGATCTTGTTCGTGTTATCGGTAACGTCGATTAACACGTCCTTTCCAGATGCGTCGAATTGCTTACCGCAGAAGCGTAGTCTTCCAGACTCGCGACGGCCTACTTCGAACTTCTTTAGGAGCTTATCTATGATAGTGCCTCCTTTGCCAATCGATGCCCAATGAAAGTCATCGACGTGCGTTGTCAAAACACAAACCACTTTTCCGGCGGCGCGGTAAAAGTAAAACGCGGGAAAGATCCTACTCACCTGGAAGCCGACATCGCGTGCTTCCCGATCAACCTTCCTCCAAAAACCGCGACCGCTATCGCAGAGCCCATATACAGGTACTCTGATGAGAAGCATTGCTTCCGGGTCTACCCCTGGAAGTCCGCCGCTAGGTTGTCTCATGAGTACAATCCTGTCAATCGGCTCAGCCTGAAAATAGGCATTGCGGATATCTGACGATTCCACGGGGACCCCGTTGGAAGCGGCGAAGGCTGCTACTAGCGCGTGTGTTTCTAGGTCTGAGGTTGGCGCGTCTGTGCGAACTTCTGTGAAATCCTCAACACTTCCACAAGACACCAGTCTGGACTTGAACTCAGGTTCATAATCCGGCTTAAGACGTTCATGATAGTTCTTAATAGTGTCGACCCATTTAGATGGTATCGGCGTATGACCGGCATCCAACAGTTCCTGTAGTTGCGCTCCTTTCAGCGGAATTGCCGCTTGAAAGTCCTCATATTTCTTCCGCTCCTTTGCGCGTGATCCATCGATCCGCAAGCGGGCTGCTGGAGTGCATTCCCAGTATTTCAAGGCCTCGGGGAGGTCCTTGAGCTCCTGCTCAACCTGTTCTCTGGAAGAGAACCGGTTAGACCAAAAACCACGGAGTTTCTGACGAATACTCACGTTAGCTTCCTCTTCGAGCCTACGTTCCTCGAAACGTGACCTAATAGGTGCCGGCAGATCATCTAGAAGATCTGATCTGCTACCCCTTCTGCTAGGATTAGGGGTTCTCTCCGTTTCGGGTTCAGCTGTGCTGACCCGTCGGGATCTCGAAGATGATGCTGGTGGAGGTGATCTAGATCTACCTCGGTCAGGCCGCTCTGGCTGATCAACCATCTCTTCATCCTCAAAAATCGATGAGAGTGGTCCTGGGCCTTCCAGAAGACCATAGGATGGTTCTTCATCTTCCTCCGGAGGTACGCCTCCAGGTGAAGCGTCCTCAGGTTCCTCTTCATCGATGTCCCCGCCGGGTACATCTCTGAGGTCCTCAAAGTGTTGCTGGCCACGCACTAACTCATCTGGCAACACGGGCTCTCCTTGGAGAACTGCATGTGCAAGTGCCTCTGCATCTTGCGCAGGTCTGAGATTCTGCGCGGACACTAGAACCGGGACGTTCTGGCACAGAACCCACACACTCTCGTTTTGGCTACCCTCAAAACCAATTACTCTAGACGCAGTAGACCAAACAGTTTTACCCGTTTTGTCTCGCCTAAAACAAACCACGTCTCCTACCGAGTACGTGTACGGCAACGGTTTTGCATTCCTAAGAAGTGCACGCTGCACGCGTTTTGAGGTGTCCAAGTGAACGAAAGCCTTCTTAGCCTCTGCCCGAGCCTGGTGGACTAAAGCAAAACGGCTCTCGGGATCACCTTGGTCGTTTAACGATCCAAGGTCTGCGCTGTTATCCTCCTCCACTAGGGATGGAGGTCCACGCGGCGTTTTCCCGAGTACCCACTGAGATTGGGAATAACCTCCATGTCTCAGCATGCTGTTCTTGGTGAGGCAACACTCATCCAAGACCGTTTGCAATGCCGTTTCGCCTACGGCTTGCGTTTGCGATACTACCTTACGAGTCATCGCTTTTAGGATTCCGCCGTGGCGTTCCACTCGGCCAATTGACTCGGGTGTTTCCAACGGCGCATGGTATACTTGAATACCATGAACTGCGCAAAATTGCGCTAAGACGCCACGATTATGCAAACCACGGTCACACCGTATAATCGATGGCATACCAGCCCATGCGGTCCAGCGTCGCTGGATAGCCTCAAGACAGCGAGCTGAAGAGGGCAACCCGTCGCCTACGCGTACGGTTTCCGCAAGTTGAAAGCACGTTCCTAAACACACCATATTCATAACCTGACACTTAGTGCCTTGCGCATCTAAGCATTCAAAGATATCAATACCTAAGGCGTGGTTAAAGGAATACCGTTCCGGCATGGATACGGCGTGTGCGTTTCTACGAGGTTGGGCGTCTTCGCATTCATTACACCTATGAAATTGGGCCGACTCTATGTACGACTTATCGATTCTAGCGGTCCTTAAGAGGTTAACTAAAACCTTCTTAGGGCAATGGCCAAACTGGCGGTGTAATCGCCGGATCGCTACGCGTATCCGCTGTGGCACCGCTCGCCATTTTGCGCGTCGCTCGGACTCCTCTATGGGTAGTCCTCGCAGATCGACGTTGTCGAGACGTGTTTCCTCTTCGATGGCCTCCTCGGAGGGGTCCATCAATGCGAAATCGCGCGGCTCTTCAACCTGATCGAAGGATTCATCCTCGTCACCTTCAAGAGCCGGGAAGGCTTCTTGAGAAACAAGTGCAGTAGCTACTTGATGTTCTGCTATTTGGCGAAGCCACACGACGAAATCTACGGAAAACACGTTATCAAAACTCAACGGAGCCATGTAAGGATAACTATTTGTGGTCCAGCCATCAAATACATCCAGTATGGCGCTGTCGTTACCGTAGTAGGAGATGTCACCTACTCCGAATACAGGTTGAATAGGAATACTAGCTTCCTGCCACCTATAGGTCTGTGCACTGTCCGTTAACAGGTACGGTGTTCCAGACGCCTCGGAGGGACTGACTATCTCATCTATAAGGTCGGAATGATTAAGGCCATCTATCGGGTCCTTATACCTTATAGCTACTACACGGGCCCCACAGACTGCAGCTCCTTCCTGGCACCAGCGGGTGTCCAGGCGCCTGTGGCGTTAACGCCCACGTTGATGCAATGGATCATTGGATCCTGGAAGTGCTGGGGCTCGCTAGTGAAAACAACTATGTGCTTAGGACCAACTGTGGTTCCTACGTTGCTTACATCTAGCAGGTGCTTAAGGGCCCTATCGTGATCCCTTAATTCGTTGATACCCTTGGTTATCAACTTGCGCCTCCCCTTACTCAGCACTGCCATTGAGCACACGGATCTGAACCCAGTACCCGTTGGGGACTCTGAAGCGATTACTACTCCCTCGTCACTAGGTTCCTTTTTCAAGGTAAGGTTTAGCTGACGGGAAATGGTATCGGATTCAGAGCTGGGGTCTGATCCTGAGCTAGACCATGATGCCCAACGTTTCTGTTTCTTGGCCTTTGGGTTCTTGGGTTGAGGTGGTTTTGGAGGTAGGGGCCTACCTCTCATTCCATCCCTGGTCCTAGCACCCGAAGGAACCCTTAACTAACCTGGGTCATCAGGGTCTTCCTTTGGCTTCTTTTCCAGCTTGACCGGCTTCGGTTCAAGTTCCTGTGGAGGTCCGGATCCTACAGGTTGCGCACAAAGAAGACTTGGTGGCTGAGGCTTCTTCTTGCTTGCTACACCGGGGCCTGGCTTCAGGACTATAGGCTCATCTAGCTTAGGTTCTGGAGCATCCCTAGAACCCGAAACTAAACCAAGCCCTGCGCTCTCCCCTGTGTATGCGCCAAAGGCGGTGCGCTTCTTGCTCTGGCCCTGCGGCTGCTTCTCTCCTTTCTAGGTAGAGTGATGCGGCATCCTCTGGCCGGCAACGCCTAGAGCTGGCCTCGCGAGACAAAGAAACTTGTTCTCGCCAACAACATCGCTGTCCTCCTCTACGGATGGACAGGGGGTATCAATGTTAACATCCCGGAGCAGGATTGTTAACTCACCCCTCTTGAAGAGAACGATCGTCTTCTTCCATCGCTCGAAGGCATAATCGTAGCGAAAGTTCAGCGGGGTGGAGCCCCCTCGGGGTCTCCACCAGAATCGCACATTGTGGAGCAATGTGCGTTCGTTTCCGCCGCCCCTGCCGACGGGGCCACGCCAGCCGTCCTTGTTCTTGAGCCC